AATCTTCTTTTTTCTTTCATCCATCTCAAATTATAATCCACCTTTTAATTAAATTTTAATTTTTAAAATATTTTTATTTAATATATTTCATTATCACTAAATATAACCTACCTTATTGAATACAGTCAACATTTTTACCCATAATTACTTTAATATATATCTTGAATGATGTAATATAACCTTATTATTGCTGTTGAAATAAATGGTTCTAAAAATAGTTAATCCAAACAGAGTCATTACTTTTTTTAAAATAAAATTTAACTAATCTATCTTTCTTAATCTGTGGGACTCATGGAATATCCTGACAGGTGCTCACGAGAAACTAAAATTTTTTTATTTTTATTTTTTGGAAGGACACGAGAAACTAACTTAAAACCAACTTTTGTATTTTGAGGGTAGTTTAATTCCTTGTGCCTTGATGCGATATATAGTTCCGATCCCTATTCTGCACAGAAAACAGAAATGGCGTCCAACAACGTGGCTCCGATTCCCCTCGACACCTACAATCTCGGCTTCATCGGTGCCGGCAAAATGGCGGAGAGCATAGCACGCGGTGTTGTCAAGTCGGGTGTTTTACCCGCTTCCAGGATCCGAACTGCTCATCACCGCCCCCAGCGCAGCTCAGCTTTCGAATCATTTGGGGTCACCGTTTTCGAGCACAATCATCAGGTTCTTCACGTTCTCGTCGGAAAGCTGATCGACTATTTAGTCCCATTTTTCCCGTTTTCTTTAATAAATTATTCTTTGGATTCTGTGTGTAAAAATTTCGTCAATTTTCTTTTTCTTTATTTTGAGTGATTCTAATTGCTGGTTGAGATTCAAGGGAAGCGGAAAGATCAATTTTTGTGTTATTCAATCTGAACCTTTCTAGCCCATTTGCTGAGTGAAATTTTCCTTTTTAAGGTAGAGTTATTACAAGAAATGAAGAACCTTTCTTCCTTTTTGAAAAAAAAAAAAAAATTTCCCTGGTCGATTTTTTATATTTGTTTATTTATTTATTTATCTTTTTTGGACTCTGTCATGTCAAAATTTTGAACTATAGAATTTAATAGAACCTTGTGTGATGTTTCATTGGATTAGCGATACATTCTTGGACTATTTCTGATGTTTCTTACGTTTTCATGTTTACTAAGAGCAGGTAATTCATGACTGTGATGTGGTCGTACTTTCTGTGAAACCTCAAATTGGTAATTCCAGTTCCAGTTTACCTTTTCCGGTTCCAGTTTGCCTTTTCCAATCTGAGCTATGTTCTTGGGTTTTTTTTCCAGAGCTCCTCGCAAGCTGCTACTTGATTTTAAAGCAAATACATTCTTTGGATTAATTTTCGTCTTTAATTCATGATATTGTTTGATGATTTGTTGACAAAGGGCTATTATTTTCTTCTTCCAAGTTAGTTAAGCTGCTGGTTTCTAATCTAAACTAACTATAAGCACAACTTGGCAATCATTTTAGCATTTCAGAATGATGTCTGGTTCTTGAACATTTTTTAATTCTCCATCTTTCCAGGAATATTAGGAAGTTTTGCGGGATTCCAGCATAGCACTTATTTAATGTTTTGCATTAGTCAAATGTCACTGTTCACAATTGATAACTGAACATCCAAAGTTGCTTGTCCAAGTTCTTTATTCAGGCAGGATGAGTAAACATTTTTGTTATGTTGTTTTTAAATTGTTTTGGCATACGTATATTTGAAGTAAGTGAAGTTAACAATTTGACTATCTACAAATTGCAGTTAAGGATGTGGCACTGGAGTTAAAGCCACTTCTTTCTGAGAAGCAGCTTTTGGTTTCAGTAGTTGCAGGAGTTAAGTTGAAGGATCTTCAGGTTTGTCTCGTAGAAGCCTTCTTCTCCCTTATTAAGGCTTCTAACAAATTTAAATAAATCTATCAAGTCCCTAGATTTCAATTTCTAGTGGTCCAAAATATTTGTTCACTGCTACAGGAGACAGGAAAAGAAAAATTAAAAGTAATTGGTGCACTTGATCAAACTTTAACTATTCAGTTGTTTGTTGGTATGGTCTTATAGTGCAGCAGTTTATGCTTCTGTGATTCTTTGGGTGACTTTCTGTATATGTGTTCATTTCATGTCCTTCTGTTTCTTTGACTTCATGTTTACAAGTGATTGTTCTATAAAGATAATGTCACAGAATAATTAATCAAAGCAAGAATAGCAGACGACTTATCTGAAAAATTAGCAAGGAAAACACAGGACAATATTTAGTTTTTAATTTGCTAGTGGCCTACATTACCAGGATTAATACAAACTTTATGACTACTGGTACATTTGGAACATAGGATATCCAATCTCTGTGAGCTTTCGAGCATGTTAAGAGGATCTTGATCAATGACCTTTTTGAGAAATTTTGGAAACATTTTATAAACATAAGGGAAAAATACATGTTGTTTGTAGCAAAAGTGGCTGTTCTCTACTTAATTCGGGGTTGTCTGAAGTAGATTTATGGATGTGTAAATTTATAATCATACAGTTTGCTTTAACAATGTTAATGGTGGTTGGAGAAATCCCTACATTAATTGATTGAAAATCTTGTTTGTTGAGAACTTCAAAGGTTTTCCTTAAATTTGGTGATCATGGGCTGCTTCAGTTATTCTATATTCACTTAGGAACAAGCATAGTATTTGGTTGAGGAAAGAACATAAACGGGCAACAATATCTTTCTTTGCTGATAAATTGAACTGATATGTATGTGTTTAACTTGGTGAGGTTCCTTGCTAGGTGATTTTACTTTCAAACTATTGAAATTACAGATTGTATGAGTTATCTCTTTTCCTTTGCTTATATTCCAAAAAAGAAATAATTTGTTTTTTTTCAACATTATGAAGTATTTCTATAGAGAAATTTCAGATGTTGAAATCATGTTTCTTTTGCTCTTGTAGTTTTTTTTGTTACTACCTGGGAGAGTCTACTAATCATGTCACTGTTACTGTGAATGTGTTTTCTCAATTCTGAATATGTTGAATAACTTGAACAGGAATGGGCTGGCCATACCCGGTTTATAAGAGTAATGCCAAACACTCCAGCTGCCATTGGTCAGGCAGCATCTGGTATAGCATTGTCTTCTGTAGCCTATATTGCATTTCATTCCTTTGAACTTTCTTAATTACTTTGAATAGTAGTTTTGCAGTTTGAGGTGCATATCATCACGATTTTGCTTTTACCCCCCCTCTCTCTCTCTCTCTCTCATTAGCTTTAGCATTCAGCTTCCTCTTGAAACAGATATTCCTTTATGATAAGCATCTTTATCAGATACAGCGATCAAAATCATTTATTTTGAACTTATTTCTCTTTATATAGTTATCAGCCTGGGTGCAACAGCCACAGAGGAGGATGGAGAGTTGGTATCTAGATTATTTGGAGCGATTGGTAAGGTGTGGAGAGCTAATGAGAAGCTTTTTGATGCTATAACTGGCCTTAGGTATGTTGCTTTTCTCTTGGTCCTAACATTGTGTTTGTATTTTTAGATGTGGTCCTAAGAATAATTTGAATGCTTATATTAAGGCTCTAGTGTCAGCAAAGGGGTTAATAGTTCCTGCCTCTATAGTGCTCATAAAGATGCATGCCCTTGCACTGTTTAGTTTATTGGAAAAAGATTTAGTTTCGATTTGTCTAACTAGGAGTTCTGTTTTCTGGATATGTTCAGTGGAAGTGGACCAGCCTATATCTATTTAGCCATAGAAGCTTTAGCTGATGGAGGTGTTGCTGCAGGTCTACCTCGAGAACTAGCGCTTGGTTTAGCTTCTCAAACAGTAAGTGATGTAGTATGTAAGACCTAATATGTACATAGTTGTGTGTCAGAAATATATTCCTCATTTCTAGGATATAATATCTTTAATTTTCAAATGGCTCGATTGTAAGATATCATTGATACTGTAATGTCCACTGCTCCTTTCTGCTAGTTGAGTATGATGTCATTTATCTATCACTAGCTTATATCATGTGATGTTATATTTTTTGTCCTTTTCCTTTGAATTTTTTTCTCATGAAAGTGAAAATTGACATTAAAAATCTCATGGTCATCTCAGATATATGTTTGCAGTTTTTATAAGGATTAATCTTTCCTACACTGACAGTGTATACATTGTCAGGGTTAGATGAATAACAACTATGCAAAATTTGAATTTCAAATTCAACTAAACCGAAATAAACATGCATGTCAGATGAACAACTAGAGATGATTCTGTTGCAGGTACTAGGAGCAGCATCGATGGCTATTAATGGAGGGAAGCATCCTGCTCAGCTAAAAGATGATGTTGCGTCACCTGGTGGGACAACCATTGCTGGAATTCATGAGCTGGAGAAGGCTGGATTTCGTGGGATTTTGATGAATGCTGTTGTTGCTGCTGCAAAACGTGGAAAGGAACTTTCACCGAATTAGTTCAATTTGGGATTTGCAAAAGCTAGACTTGTTCAGGGGTAGTTCGAGGGCTTTTTGTTTTCTCCCCTTTTTTGATGTATAGACAGAGGTAGTTCAAGCCACTATATTCGTAGAAGTTTTTGGATGAAGCAAATAAATATAGCGTAGATCTTAGTCCGTTTAATTTAATTATTCGGCTTTTGGATCTTTCCAAGTTGATGCTTTTTTTTTTAACTACCATTTGCCTCTTCCTACATTATTTTGAATTATATAATCCTTATACTTGTCTATGCTGAATTGTTTCAGGATATTAGCCAATTAGTATTTAAGCAGGATTGCAGTCCCTTGTAGCCTTCCTAATTTCAGTTCTTCATGGGATGTATTCAGTTTTATCTTCCCTCATTTCTCTCCTCTTCCAGCATTTCAAAACTTAAAGAAGTGAATGTTCAGGCTACCTCTCCATTGAGTTCCCCTAAGAATCTTCTCAAAATGCTTATTGACCTTACCTTTACTCTGTCGTGGAGAGAGACCATAAGCTTTGCTTGATCAGCTCTCACTTAAGAGCAGAGGGACAGTGGATTTGGTAATTCAATTTTGTAACTGAGAAAAGCAGCGGGAGCTGCAGAATATGGAAAACTCAATGGTCGACGTGTATAAATGTGTTATTGGTGTTGCTCAATCTCCCAGTCTGCTACCAGTAATCATTGCACGAACACTCTCCTCCTTTAAACTGATGGAAACGATTTCTATCCCTAACAACTATTTCTCGGTCATAAACTTTTGAGATTAACTTACTAACCTGGTGACAGTCTTTACAAACTCTTAGATTCTTTGTGATACGAAGAGTTTCCCCTGGTTTGGCCCTTAACAAACCAAAAGCAATAGCCAGTTTCTCGCTATGGTAGTACAGGGGATTCTCCCTTTCTTCCTCGCTGATGTCGTGCAATACTCCGTCAGTAACGGGCACATATCCTACAGATCTTAAGCGATCCAATATTTCATTAACCTTGGCATATATTTCTTTAGCTTCAGGATGAGTCCTTCCTCCTGCAATAAACTCGTTGACAGCGCCTTCCAATTCAATCGCAGAGCAGCCTGGAGCCTTTTTCACTCCCCTGTCGTTCATCAACTTTCTCACATAAGCAACATCTTCCCATCTGCCTGCATTGGCATATAGGTTAGCTAGCAGCACGTAGCGCCCGCTATTGCTAGGCTCTAGTTCTATTACTTGCTTCCCAATTTCCTCTCCTAGCTCAATGTTCCCATGGATTTTGCAAGCCCCCAGAAGAGCCCCTAGTACACCGACATCAGGTCTCATTGGCATCTCATCTATAACCTTTCTTGCTTCCTCCAGCAATCCCGCTCTTCCTAACAAATCAACCATGCATCCGTAATGTTCCATTCCCGGTTCAATGCCATAAACTTCTGTCATATATCTAAAGTAATACTTTCCTTCATCAACTAACCCTGAATGAGCACAAGCACTTAACAAGTTGACAAATGTGATATAATCAGGAGCTAAATTCTTCTCCCTCTCCATCTCCTTCAAAAGCTCAATCGCTGCCACACCTTTACCATTTATTGCCAGTCCTCCAATCATACAATTCCATGAAGAAATCCCTTTACTTTCCAACCTTTTGAACACCTCAAAAGCCTCATCCAAGCATCCACATTTGCAATACATATCAATAACTGTCGTCTGCAATTTTGAGTCAACTTCAATCCCACTCTCTTTTATGTACCTATGTATCCATTTTCCTTGCTCTAAAGCGCCCAGTCCAATACAAGCTGACAACATACTTGCAGCGACAAACTTGTCCATCTTCACATTCTCTAGTCTCATCTTCTCAAACAATTCAAATGCCTCGTGAAATCTACTGCTCTGAACATAAGCTGCAATCATGGCATTCCAAGAAACTGCAGAATTTTTTCTTTTATCAACTGGCATGGACTCGAAAACTTTGTAAGCCTCATCAAGACAGCCCAGTTGAGCATATCCATCGATCAATGTAGTCCAAGAAACATCATCCTTATAGACCAATTTATCAAACACCCTTCTCGCATCCTCCAAGTTGTTGAAATTCACATACATATGAATCAAATTATTTTGCGCAAAACCATCTGATAAAAACCCATATTTAATGACATGGGAGTGAACTTGTTTGCCTTCTTGAATAGCATTATCTACGCAACAAGCTCTTATAAGAGGAGGGAAAGTGAAGTTGTTGGGAATAACTGAATCTTCCAACATTTTTGTATAAAAAGTAATGCAGTTTCTGGGCAAATTTGATTGCAAATAGCCTCTGATAATGGTGTTATATATGAAAGGATCTGGGCTAGGCAATGTATGGAAAACTTTGAGAGCATAGTTCAAGTCCTTGGTTTCAGAAATGGCACAAAATTTGATGACACGGCCTATGGTGTCGTTGTCTGAGGAGAGACCTAACTTGATGATTTGGGCATGGTGTTGCTTGATTTCGGCCATTGTTGAGCACAGGTCTAGACGGGAGGGGGAGTAGGTGGTCTTGGAGATGGGAGGTGGGGTGGAATGTAGGAGCTGTAACGAGGCCATGGACATAACGCTCGATTCATGGAATTATCCTCCCCTTTTATGTAAGAGAAGTGGTGGCCAAATAAGGGTAATTCGAATTTCCCCCGCAAAAAGTAAAGAGTATTTACACTTTATCCTCTCAATCATTCAATTGCATCAATCATTCCCCTTTAAAGTTTTTAGTTCTTCACATTTGCCCAGTTTGCCTACTATACGGTTAATTAGTATCTCAATGGGAGCAAAACTGCTAAATTTTTAATTTTTTTTTGAAAAAAGGTTGTGTACCCTAATATGTGAGTGAAATATGAATATCAATCTTTTTCTATTTGTTGAAAGTGATTTAACATCCATTAAGTTTTTAAGAAATTTGTCATTTTATTTATTCATTAGATTGGTTGGCTTTTTTACCAGTGGTATGCTAGTTATATACGAATTCTAGGTGACTAAAAATTATCTAAACTTCTTGATGTCTGTCATGGTTAGTAAAACTTATGATTCTTAATTTGAGTGAAATCTCAAGATTACTATTTTATAACATTAATACTACTAACAACAAAGAAAACAGGAAAAAAAGAAGAAACTACTCACGTAGGGAAAAATATTAGATACACCATGTACATTACTTGACAACGTGCAAGTACCAATCAAGTCACAAAATATTATGATGAGTTATTCCTTATATGTATCTACAAAACAAGGAATGATACGCCATCATTAATCGATGATGGGTGATTAATACTAATACACTATGTAACATATTACGTAACATAATGTAATACACTCAATACTTTTCTCACTTATGTAGTTTACATACTCTATAGTAAGTATGTAGGATTTTTTCTACAAATGACATAATGGGTTGGGGTGTAAATGAATCTAATAAAGCTAAACATCCTGGTATTCAAGTTTGTTTGATTATTTAATGGAGACTAAAATTATGTTCAGACTTTGTTTGTTTATATATTGAACCGAAATCAAACGAATTCTTATCAAGCCGAACTCGAGTTGAGCTCGAGTAACTTGAGTGTTTTTTGCCTATAAATTTCAATTTTATGCAAATCAAATTAAGTTTGTGCTAAACTTGAAAATTTATCGAACGCAAAATACTGTTTAAGTTTGGTTTAATTGGTCGACAAACCAAATTCCAACAAATTCTTACCAAATCAAATTCAATTCGACTTGAGTAGTTTGACTCGTTTTCAATCCTAATGATGAATCAAATAGCCAAACAAAGTAACGTCCATTTATAAGCATTTCTAAAAGAAATGCACTTTTGTACTTGAGGGAAAAAAATGTACTAATTTGAGCAAATTAAAAAGTGAGAGAGGTTTACTGACGCAATCCAACAACTAGGGGATCCTTAAAAGTTATGATGAATTTTGAGGGGGGAATGGGAAAAAAATTTGAGAATCCATCCACAAAGGAAAAATATCCAAGTATCCAACCAATAGTGTTGACCTGAGAAAAATCGGATGGTGTAGCGGACTCGACTGTGTTCGCGTGTCTTGCACGTGCTAATGGCGGGCAGTTCATCAGGCTCAGCTTCGGAAGATTTCTCGGTGCTAGTTTTAGCTTCCGATTTAGGTATAGATGGTCGGCCGTTTTTGTCCCAATCGGACCGCGAAAATCGAGAAGAACAGTGGCATGATTGCCAATCTTATGAACAAGAAGACTTCTCCGATCTCGAAGCCCTTCAATTCTTCCGCCTTGAATCTGGCTCCGACAAATCCGGGAATCGTATCTTTCGTATCGTCGGAAAACACTTCCCTGGTACCTAAAATTAACCAACATAATTTTAGATACAATCGCCCATCAACCTTTATAGTTATTTGTATTAGTATTAATCGTTTAGGTTTGGCTAGTATACTAATTGGGTTTTTTTTTTTTTTGTTCAATTTGAAATTTAGAGTTTTATTTTCTTGATTATTTCTGAGCTGTGGCCAGTGAGTTGTGATTATAGGTCTATCAGTTTTAGCTTGTATTTTTAGGTTTGTATGCTGACTTTTAGTTGTTTTTCTGCTAAAAGTTTTCTTTTTCTTTTGCTTTTGCTTATTAATTTGAGAACTCTTACTTTCTTTTTGCTTTCTTTTTCTTTTCTTTTCTGTTTTCTGGCCTTATGTTTATCTATAGGGAAATCATGAATTTGCTCGAAATTTCACCCTTTTGGAGAACTATGAGCACATGGGTTTTTTCCCCCACTTTTCTTTTTCTTTTTCTTCTTTTTTGGAGTTCTGCTGGTGTGCTTTTAACTGCGGGCGTGCCATACTATAATGGGATGTCATTCTGTTATATTTGCTGTAAGTCTTCTTTGCAGTTCTTAGTTTTGTACTATCGAGGCAAAGCGTTGATTTCAATAATCATCTTTTTGCTTGAACGTTTTGTTGATTTTTAACCTTTTATTTAACATAGATTGTTTCGGAGTAAGTGAAATTAATTGGGTTCGATTTATTTTTCAGCTCCTGTGATTAGTGGAGAACGGCTGAAGAAGTATGTATTCCACAAGATAGCAACTGAGCTGCCAGAAGGGCCTTATTGCATCGTTTACATGCATACTACAGTGCAAAGTGATGACAATTCACCTGGCCTCACCATCTTGAGGTGGATTTATGAAGAGCTACCCTCAGATCACAAGGACAGGCTTCAGGTTGTATACTTCATTCATCCTGGTCTGTGGTCAAGGCTTGTCTTTGCCACGCTGGGAAGGTTCTTCTTAAGTGGAGGGTGAGTTCTTTCTTGAACTTTTCTAATCATTTTGTGTAAAAGATTTAGACTATGTTGCTACATGTGGTGCTATCAAAATCTCTGGAAGCTATATGGTCATTATCTGAGTGCCTATTCATTGTTTATTATGATAGCAGAAAGAAACATTATGCAGAGGCAATTAGTTCATGTCCAGTAATCTAGGTCATATACCTCCAGTAATTAGTCCCTTAACTTCTAATGTTCGATTGATGCTGCAGATCCTGAATTATCTCATATTGGAACAACCCACACTACTTAAAAGACCAAATTTTGAACATAATCCTGTTTAAAGCTGATTTGTCAATTTAACATGCAAACAAATCAGAATGTAGATTATTGGGAGAAGAGAACTGCAAATTAAGTAGCATATGGGACTTGAAATTATTTCTGTGGTCAAGCAGCACAAATGCCTAATTTTACAAACTTGTTGCTGAATCTAATTACTTCTGAATGTTTCCAGATTTTGTTATTGCATGTTTGTTCATGATACCCATTGCCTTCAGCAAATACTGGTGCTGCGTGTAGATTCAACAATTTTGCTGCATTTACTGCCCTTTGGACAAATTATGATGGCTTACTTCTATGAACCTCTTCTGATTCAATTTGGACTAAGGGAGTCTTGTAACTGAAGTTATGACTCAGAAACATGGGTCTCGCTGTGTCATGCATGTTGCTCACTGGTCTTTTCTTTTGTTTGAGTGTAGATTGTATTGGAAAATCAAATATGTAAGCCGCTTGCAGTATCTCTGGGATGACATAAAGAAAGGAGAACTGGAGATCCCCGAATTCGTTCTGCAACACGACAATGTGCTAGAGACTAGGCCTTTAACTGACTATGGAATTGAACCTGATCCTTTTCATGTAACTGAGATTTCGACTATGCCCTACTCATTTGGAAGACATCGGGCAGACTTGCCTTCTAGAGAATACATGTAGTATTTCTGACTGGAAATTATGTGTACAATTTGCAGTCCAATATGCTACAATATCTGTGTAGCATGTTTACAATATCTGTATGCCAAGTTAAGCTTGGTATGATGTTTGAACCCTGCAGGGCATATCTTCGTAATTTCAAGCTAGACGCCCTCTTGTCTTTTTCCCCTCTTTCAAAGTTATGGGGAAACATGTGAGCAGGAGATTTCTTGAATTGGTGATTAATAGTTGCTTTCTCTGTGCAGTTTAGATTCCTTAGTTTTTCGTTCACTTTGTATATGTTCAATCTTTTGGTGCCAAGAAAATTACTTAAAAACAGTCCGGATTCCCAGTGTGCATTAAGAAGATTACGAATATATGCATTCAAGATATAAGGGCATTTATTCGTAATTTCATGCTACATGCCCTCTGTCTTTTTCCCCTCTCGCAAAGTTGTGGGCAAATATAATTATGTGAGCAGGAGGTTTCTTGAATTGGTGCTTAATAGTTGCTTTCTCTGTGCAGTTTAGTTCCTTTAGTTTTTCATGCACTTCAATTTTGTCACCCTTTTGGTGCCAAGAAAAATACTGGAAAGCATTTCAGATTCTCCATGTGCATTTTAAAATTCCTTCAGGACGTTGAAATGCATGTTGGTGTTTGGCTGTTTGCAACATGGTTTTGTCTTGTGTGCTGGTTTTTCTGTTCTTTGGTGAGTTCAATAAATCTTTTGGCCTTTGTTGGTGAAAGAGTAAAAACTTCCATTTTCATTCCCTGAGGCACTATGCAGCCTAGATTAGCGAGTAAAAAGGGTCTGGCGAGGTTTTTTTCAGTGTAACAGGCTTACAGCATTTAGTTCTGGAGGAGAGCTATTTTCGGTGACTGGACAAGCACAATTTTGTTCAAGTTAGCTGTGGCAGGGTCTCTCTGAGTTTTTCTCGCCTGTTTGAATAAATCACTCTTTTTTTTTTGGGGTTTAATTTGAACTTGATTTGTCAGAGAGCAAACGGGTGTTGTCCTTGATCTTACAAGGCTAAACCTGTGTGAATGACCTAATAAAAAAATTGAGAATTATTCTCAAGAACAAAAAGGATAATGGCCAATGAGTGTATGGATTCATTTTAGTTTGGCTGAAAATTTTCAAACATGATACCAGAAATTTATCATGATGTTCCCTTCTTTCGATTCACTCACAATCCTTAAAATGACCGGCAAAACTAAGAATTTCCGCCTAATTGAAAACCCTTTTCTTAAAGGAACATATTGCCTTGTACATCTGTAATTCGGTTCATAATAGTTTAACATGATGCATTTTGGGCGTTATAACCTTGCTCCAGCAGAACTGAATGCGTGCAATATGTCTTCCATTT